AAAAAATACTTATGTGGAAGGAGAGGGAGCCATCCATTTTGCTCTAAGAAGGGAGGTGATACAAATATTAATGTAAAACTCAAAATCCTCCTTAGGATACTGATCAATTAGATGACATTAAAACATAAAACAGTGTATATATACATCAGAAGTCTCTCTAAAACAAACTCAAGGGACTAAGAAAAATATTAGCAATATATGACAAAGGGGTCCTCCTTATACATGAAGGGCTTTACAAATCAATAAAAAGCAGATAGCCTAGCTCTTGAGGAGATACAAGAGGAAATATAAATGACCCGTAGACATTAAAATATACTTCAGTTTATCATTAAATCCATAGAAAATTTAAAAATGACACTGGCAAAGATTCTTTAAAAAGTGATGATACTCAGCATTGGCCAGATTCTGGGAAGATGGTGGGGTGGGTGGCATTGTACCACCACCCAGACCGGGCAGGCTCATTGTTCATTTGGGCTGATGGGAAGGCATCTTGGAGCCCTCGATGGATTTGACAGGCCTTTAATGCTGAAACCGGGGACCAGATGCAGGGAGGGAGTCAGGGAGGCTGGGAGGCTGGGAGGCTGGGAGGCTGGCCACAGCCCGGTCTCCCAGCCCCCTCCATCTCTGCGCTGGCTCTCCAGCTTCTCTCTGACTTTTCTCCTCTTGCTCCCAGTCTCTGCCCGAGGGCCCTGTTCTATAGCCGCGCAGGCCCCTCGCTCACACTCCTCCCCCTGGGAGTCCGAAATCACGGGTTCATGTGCCCGGTGCTCGAGCCCCCGCGCACTTTGCAGTAACATGTTATGTGTGCGCCACGAAACCTGGGAGGCAAGGAAGACTGGGGTGGTGGCCTCCGAGGCTAGCAGCAGGAGGCAGGAAAAGCCCGACTAACTCCATTTTGCCTGCAGCTGGACAGCGCTCACGTTGTGTGCGTCTGTAACGTGGGTCTCTGCCAACAAGCCTACCTACTTATAAGCAACAATAAAAATAAGGTTTCGTGTTAATTCTGACACGCAGCTGCAGGTAGTGCATTTTAACAAATCAAAGGGACTCCAGTTCCAACCCCACTTCTTGCTTCTACCTGTTCTATCACTCTGGGCGAGGCACCTGACTTTGACCTCTCATCATGACCACAGAGGAATAGATAGTAACATATCAGTGCGATCGAAGCTGCTTCTACGGCAGTGACACCCAAAGGTGCCCCGACAAGCAGGTGATCATTTTCAGAATCGGCACATGGAGAAGCAGCTGTCGCGCTTTGCTCTTGGGGAAAGTATACTTTTTGTATACAAAGAAAAGCAGGAGGGTTCAACAGAGAAGGAAATCCTCAGGCAGGTCTCAGAACACCCTTGAAGACAGGCTTCTAAAGTTCTGACCAGGGGAAGGACTGGTTCCAGTGATGTTTCCGTGTAATCCTAGTGACTTGGCCACCTGACAGCACCTCTGACTTCCCTCAGGAACCCCAGGCCTCTTCTGTCTGTCGCCCCTTCCTATGGGTAGTGCTTTCGCCTTCTCTAACGTATACAAAAACCGTGGAGAACGAAGTTGCTGACTGTGCCATCAAGGTTCCTGTTTAACGAGACAACAATGTGATTTTCATATCCAAATTACTGCGAACTTGGCATCCTGGATTTTTACTTTATGACCTACCTGATCAGTCTCTTTAAAGTATTATTCCATTTCGTTCATTAACTTTAGATCCCACTCGGTAATATCCGAACCTGCCAGATCATCCCTAGAACAGGAAGGAGAGTGGGGAACTCGGCGCCAGCTAAGAAAGAGGGCCACGGATCTGGGCTTGCCTTTTTACAGCTTATCCATGATAAGCTTTCTCCACAGTAGCTTCCCTGATCCTGAAGTTGAGCAGCAGACATTCATTCTTTTAAATTTTGACTTATCAAGTATGTTTGATAGGCTTTAAAAATATACTTTATTTTGAGGTTACTGTAGATTCACGCGCAGTTGCAAAAAAATAATGCAGGGAAACCCCACACATTCTTCCCCCCGTTTGCTGTTAAAGCAGCAGCTTACAACCCCATAGTACTCTGTCACCATCAGGATCCCTCCTGCCTCCTACAGCCAACCCCCCACCCTCTGCTCTCCCACTTATCTGTTTGCCATTCCTGTCGTTTTCAAGAATGTTCTGTAAATGGGCTCATATGTACAGCATATAACAGTTGGGGGATTGACTTTTCATTCAGCTTAATTCACCCTCATTGTTGCTTATGTCAGTGGCTCATGACTGAGTAGTTTTCTGTGTTAACTATTCAGTAAGGCAGGACATCTGGGCTGTTCCTACTTTTTGACTGTTAAAATTAAAATCGCTGAATATTCATGTAAGGTCTTGTGTGAACAGAGGTTATCAACTCTGGGGTAAATGTCCATGAGTACGATTGCTAGGTAGGTAATCATGGTAGTTGCATATTTAGTTTTTTAAGGAACTGTTGTTTCTGGGCCTCCCTGGCGGCCTAGAGCTTAAGTCTCAGCCCTAAGTCGATCCCCAGCCAGGGAGCTGACCCACATATGGCGCAGCAGACCTCTCCTGTCTCACCTACTGCTCCCCTGTACTTCAGTAAATCCACCTGTTCTGCTCCCCACTCTGTATCTGGTGCATCCTCTCTCCCCCCAAATACACACACACCTCTGGCCTACACCCCAGTTCTTCTGCAAAAAAATTAAAAAAACAAATAAAAAGCTGCTGTTTCTCTAAATTGGCTCTGCCTCTTTCCGTTCCCACCAGCCACTGGGATGAGCCAGTGGTGCTGGCCATGGGTGTGGTGGTTTCTGTTTTCTCTGCCCTGATGGGAATGTCGTGGACTCATTATGGTTTCAATTTGCTCTTCTCTAATTTCTCACGATGTTGACCATCTTTTCATGCGTTTACTATCTGTGTATCCTCGTTGGTGAAATGTCTCTTCTATTTTTTTTTTTTTTGCCCATTTTCTAATTGGATTATTAAGTTTTGAGAATTGTGTATTCTAGATACTTACTAGCTCTTTACCAAAGGACTAGTTTGCAAAAGTTTCAAATATTCTATTCTAGTCTTTAGCTTGACTTTTCATTTGCTAACAGAATCTTTTGCAGAAGCTTTTAATTTTGATCAAGTCCAATTTAACAAGTTCTCCTTTTATGGATTACACTTTTATGCCAAGTATAAAAACCCCTTTAGCCCTAGATTCCTAAGACTGCCTCCCATTTTTCTCTAAAAGTTTTTGTGTTTGACATTTTAGTTTGTGATCCATCTTGTCAGTCGTATGCAAAATGAGACTTAGGTAAAGGCCCCTTTTTTTGGCTGGTGGAAGTTCAGTTGATGCAGTATCAGTTGTTGGAAAGATTATTCTTCGTGCATGGAATTGCTTTGTGTCTCTGTCAGCACTCAGGCGTGCGTATCCAGGAGTGTCTACTTCTGGGCTCTCCGTTCTATCCTCTTGGTCTGTGTGTATCTCCTTCTCCAGCCCTGCACGGTCTGGAGAACTGCAGTTGATAGAATGCCTCGAAATCAGACAGATTCTTCCCACTTGATGATTATTTTTAAAAATTGTGTTAGCTCTACCATTTCCTTTGTATATAGATTTTAGAATGTTCTTGTCTACATTTACAAGCAAAATCTCACTAGAATTTTTATAAGAATTATGCCACACCCATGTTTCAAGTGTGTGTGGGGGGGGGGACTGACTTTTTTCTATGTTGAGCCATTCTAACCATAGTTACAGACGGTCTTTCCACTTATTTAGATCTTCTTTGATTTCCCCTGTCAACATTTTATAGTTTTCGTATTTTGTACAAGTCCTCTGCATGTATTACATTTTTTCAGTGATTATGTTCTTATTTCTAATGTCATTGTTCACAAATTAAAGCCTAGTGTATGTAGAAGTATAGTTGATTGTTACATGTTTATGTTATAGTCGTCCGTGGTGTTGCCAGGCTCACTTATTAATTTTAGGAGTTTTTGTAGATGCCTTGGGATTTTTCTAAGCCACAATCATGTTATCTGCAAATAGAGACGACTTTAATTCCTCCTTTCCTCTCTGTATGCCTTTTATTTCCTTTCGTGCTTTATTGCGCGGCTCGAACTTCCAGTACTATGTTGAATGGTGAGAGTGGACATCCTTGCCTTGAGCCCAATCTTGGGGAGAAAGCATCACTCAGAAAACACTGAATAAACGGTTAAATGTAAAGCTTGTCTGTGTGTAGTGGGCTTTTTTAATAAATGTTGTTTGATTATGGAAAGGAGTCATTTGATTTGATGAGCCAGCTCCTGGCAATAAATAGATTCTACTAAGTGTTTTGGTGGGGTGAAGTGTGAGGAATGAAGATCTTAGGGTCTGGAGTGGCAACATTCAGATTTAAATAGTTACTCTCCTAGCTTTTAGCTGCAAGGCTGGGGCAAATTACTTACACCTCTCAAAACCTGCTTCTTCCACCACCAAAAGAGGAAGATGAATCCCCCATCCTGCTTCCTCGCCCCTGAGATTGAAGCATCCAGGGAAGAATGGGCATTATCAGTGGTCATGTCCCTAGAAGAAGCACTGCGCCCCCCGCCCCCACCAGGAGCTGGCAGCATGACCCCAATTCAGTAAGATCTTCATTCTGCCTTGCAGTGGCCCCACCCACCTTTATTTATATCCATGGAAGGTCTGCCTAGTTCTGATGGGTCATTAGAATTTGCATTTCAAATCTTAAACTAAAAGACTGAACTATATCCGAAAATACTTGGTCTCTTAAGGGCCGGCCACCGAGTTCATCTCCTGGCCCCTCCACTCACCATCTGCGTCAACTTGGGCAAATCATGGAGTCCCCAGTTCATCGTAGAGTTCGTCCTCTGTTAAATGGGCGTAAAGACGGTACTTCAGAGGGGCACTGTGAGGCCCTCGTGAGCTCATTCAGACCACGTTTTGACCAGTGCTTGACATGTTAGCTGTGATCGGTATGTTGGTGACTATAAAGGACACATAGTTATTTGTGAATCACTTTTCTTAAAAAAAAAATTGTTTGCTTTGCAGATTTTTAAAAAAATGGATTTGGCCAACCATGGACTTATTCTCCTGCAACAGTTAAACGCTCAGCGAGAGTTTGGTTTCCTGTGTGACTGCACGGTTGCCATCGGCGATGTGTACTTCAAGGCACACAAATCAGTTCTTGCTTCATTCTCCAATTACTTTAAGATGTTGTTTGTCCATCAGACCAGGTAACTAACGTGGTTGATAATAATGGAATGACTGTAGACGCTGCACTTCCGTGGCCCTGCTCTTTGCCCTTGTCAAGACCTTGCGTCTCCCTGCCTCTCCCTACGCTCCTGGGCTCCCGTGTCCTCTCGTGACCTCACTGCCCCCGACCCATCTTGGGGACTCCTGCTTTCAGTAACGTTTGAGAATCGTGGACCTTTTGGCCTCAAATAGCCCCTCCTTCCAGACCACCTGGCGGGGTGTCACCTGCACAGCAGGATCGCCCTCTACCTCCTGGACCCCTTCTCTCCCTCCAGCCCAGTCCCCAGAGTCTCTCCCAGACTTTCAGGAGTTAGCCTGTCCTCCTGCTTGGAGGAACGTTTGGAAGTTTAAAGGATATATATTCAAATTTCCTTCTTTACTTTCTTAAAAGTCTCAATCTCACTATTTTTCCTTGTATTTTTTCCTCCCTGTTTCTCCCATTGTGGAGAAAAGGCCCCTGGCGTCCCAGGAGAAGCCCAGATCCCACGTGTTAGTTTTCATTCTCTTCTTTCCTGTTACACTCTCACCACCTCCCCCAAATCTAAGAACAGCAGCACTTCTTTGACACAGCTGTCTGCTGGAGTTCCGGTACTGCTGCTCCGGTATTTCACTAAGAAAGTTCTTCAGAGGGTGACCTCTGGCCTGGTGTGTGCTCATCTCATCCCACATTCTTCCTCTCCGTGGTGGCACTGTGGTTTCCACCCCATCGCTCTACTGAAATCTTGCCAAGGTCGCCTCTTGATCCCAACCGCAGCTCTTCTGTCCCTGTCTCCGCAGCCCTTGTCACTGTTTTCTTCCTTCCAAAGTCACCTGTGGTTTGACCACTCTGGAAGCCCTTGTTTTTCTGCCCTCTAAACCGGTGCCTACTGAGAGTTTGGGTGAGTTTTGGTCTTGGGTTGGCCAAGCTTCTTCCTACCTGCACTCTGACGGCCGTTTTCAGCGTGGACCTTGGTCTTTCTCAGTCTCCAGAACTGTTTCCCAAAGCCCCAGGCTGCCTGCTGGACTTCCAGAATTGTGTGGCCACCTTTTCTCTCATTTGGCATGTCAAAACTGAATGAGATCTTCCCCAAAGGCCCTTCAGGCTGCCTTATGACATGGGGTTGGTTTGTTTTGAATCTTCAAGTAACCCATACTTAAAAACTCTCTTCCAGATCTCCCCGTCAGTCCCCAAAACATATTTTCTTGAAAATATCTTCAACTGGAATCCTCCTCATTCCCTTCCATTTCCTAATCACATTTTCCACATCACTGTCAGGTTGCTATTCCTAAACATCGCTGTGATCGTAGTGTCCCTTTGATCAAAAACCTACCAGACTGGCTTCTCCCTTTGATCTGGAGCCTGGGGACGCCCACTGCGTGCCGAAGCAGCAGAACTTTGCTTTCCTCCCTTTCAAGGCTTGCAGGCTCAGAGCCTGACCCCCTACCAGCCTCCCCTTGACTGTACCCCCTTTGGGAGGTCCCTGCCCCAGCCAGAACCTTCAGTGTTCTGCCCATTCCCTCAGGCCTGGCTCCTGCCTCACCTCTTCCCCAGCCCATCCCCCATTCAAGTGAACCACGCTGACCAAAGCCGTTTCTCCCTCGCTCACATTTCGGAGCATGTTACTGATGCCATTTTGCAGACTCCACCATTTCCCTGTTGGTGGTGGTGGATTTACCTCACCTCCTGACCTGTAAGTTTCTTGAGGGCAGAGGCGGGGTGCCCATGGCAGTGTGTGGTTGAGAGCTCTGCACAGAACAGCCACTTGGCAGATGTTTGCTGGGGTGGGGAGCAGAATGGGTGACCAAGTGAAATTGTCTTGGAAGGGGAAGGACTTTAGTTGTGAGCAGTAAAAGACTAGAGTGTAATGAGTTTTAATGGGATGCAAGAAACTTAAGTACAGTAAGAAAATACCTTTCGAACAGGACCAGGCTATTTGTGCAGGTCGAAGTCCCAGGCTTCAGCCACAGCGTGTGGCTGCACCAGAGGTGGCACCTGCCATCTGGGCGGCTATCCCCAACTTACTGAGGCCAGCGCTAGGCGAGCCCAGGTCTGTGCTCTCGGCCAGTGCCTGTCCTCATGGCCCTTTGCCGCCTCTCTGCCCAGAGGTTGGCAGTACTTGGTTTTATGTCCGCAGCTTCCACTAGGTGTCTCTGTCTTATGTGCACTCTGAGTGGTCAGTTTTAGACTTGGAGCTGTCAAAGGTAAAGCTACTAAGGGCCAGGCCTCGCCAAGTGCAGCCTCCGACACTGGCTGAGCTACAGCCGTCCCTCGGGTCTGGAGTTTTGCTTTGTGGCTGTGGGTTCCCTGGAGCCAGCTGCAGTCCTAACGTATTCCCTCCAATAAGGTATTTTGAGAGAAACCACAGTCACATAACTTTTAGGACAGCAGAGTGTTATAATTGTCATATTTTGGTTTTAGTTGTTGATCTCTTGCTGTGCCTAATTGATACAGTAAACACCACCAGAGATATGAAGGCACTAAGGAAAAAGCAGAGTATAGATGCAGGATTGGGTCCTGCCGCTCAGTTTCAGGCATCCACGGGGTGTCTTAGACCATAGACCCTTCAGACAGGGGGAATACTAGATTTAAAAACTCTATTTTCAAAGTTCTTTTAGCCCAATTTTTATATTAAGGGTATACTGTTATTTAGCATATTAGAAGTAATACTAAAAAGGAGTGAAGAAGAGTTATAAAATATATTTATACTTTATGTTTATATTATATTTCATGTTTTATATTAAGATTCTATGAAGGAAAAATGTTAATTGTCAGTAACCGTCAGAGTATATACAAAGGGCTGACAGCTGTACTAAATAATGTATTTTCTTCATAGAAGTCTTATGTCAATCACGAATGTAGATGTGATTCTATTGTAGGGGATGTGCTTCCCAAAGGACTTGGAATTGACCAAAGTCTGGCCCAAGGCAGGCTGGGTGATTAGCTGCCTGGGAGCAAAGGCACCCAAGATGAAGAGGTCTGCATTGTGACAGAAGGAAAAGTTTTTTTTTTTTTCTTCTGTGCATGCACGTTAGGTATGCACATGTACTTCTGCTTTACGGAAGAAAAAAATGAGAATAAATAAATCAAGATAAATCGTAGTCTGGAAGCCTCCCTGGGCACTGGTGGTGAACTCCAGGGACTCTGGCCTTCCCCTCCCTAGCAGCTTCTCCCCAGCTCTGCAGAGCCCCTGGGGGCCATTCTCCCTGGCTGAAGTGTGGGCTGGGGCCAACTCCAGCCCTTATTTGCCATCAGAGATTACACATTCCTCTTTGAATGTCGAGAGGCTCACTGGTGAGTCACCCCCAAGCACAGGCGCTAGGCGGGAGACTGTGTTCAATGTGTACAGTAACTTACAATGGGAAATTTCAAAACTTTACAACGGCCTTTTTTAAAGGCAAGGGGCCCTGCTTGGTAGTTACGCTCATGGACGCTAGAAGGCACAGCCCCAGCTCAGGTGCTTCCATTCCCTTTTCTTTCAGGGTGGGCGCCGGGGCTCACTAACCTTGAGGAACCTTCCATCCTGGCAGAGCCACAAGCGCCCATTCTCCTGCGAGTAACTTCCATCTCTAAAGGCCTGTGGTGGCCCAGTTTCAGGAGGCTTCTGCCTGGCCTTGGCAAGATGCCCTCTAGATCTGCTTTCACTTCAGAGTTGATTGTTTACGTTCTTCCTCTCTTGCTCCCCACACAAGGTCCCTGAAGCTTTACTTTGAATACTGAACTGCCACAGAGCACCTAAATCTGTCTGGTTGCACCAGTGCTGCTGGCACTCTTCTGGTGCTTAAAGGAAAGAACACCTGTATTTGCAGTCCTCTTTAAAGAGATTTAAATAATTTAAAGGACTATAAAAAGGCTCCAAATAGAGATATGAAGGATCTGTTTTTTGTTTTTTGTTTTTTAATAGTCACAAACTCTTCCCTTTATATTGTTAAAGGGATGCTGTTTTTGTGCTCGGCAGATTTTCTTTGGCTTTCAAACTTTGTAGTTAGACATTTCTCACATGATTACTTGCATATACTCATCTTGAAATACACACACATTGATAACTATAATAATTATTCAAATCTGTTCTGACACAAATTGCTATTGGTCACTTTTTAGTAGAATAAAATACTGAATTCAAAAGGAAGAATATACTATTATGATTTTAGCATATTGGAAAATATTAATAACATAAACAGCTAACGTAGCCAACAAGAGTTGTGATAGTAACTGGTCTCGTAAAAAGTGATTATAAATTCTAAAGGCATTCAAGGAAGGTGTCTTTGAAGTTGAAAATGCGTTGCCTATAGGACATTTTCACAGCAGATGATAGCCTGTGCCTCATAGTGTGGTTATCTATCTCATTCGTTTCTGCTCACGCATTAGAATTTGTTACTACTGATGGTCTAGGAAGCGTTGTTAGAAACCATTATCGTTGCTTGATCAAAGTGGTATTTCTCAAATGATGCAAATGCTTGAGCTTAAAAGTTAGAAATAATTCTACAACTGCGATAGGTGTCTCAGATAAAGCACTTAACTTTTGAGGGTCTCGTTTTCCATATACGTCAAATGGTAATAATCAAATGTGCCTTATCTGCCACACAGGATTCCTTTAATGCTCTGAAAATGGCGATGCCATGGCTTTGCTGTTAACGCAAATTAAAACCCATTTCCACCACTTACTTACTAACCCTGTGATATCGAGCAAGGTATTCATTCCTTTGAGCCTCAATTCCTTATCCTTAAAATGAGAATTGATGGCAGTTATATGAGGTAGTAACTACAAAGCCCAGCTGCAGGTTCAGGGGTGATGGTGCTGGTGACGAAGATGGTAGTGAGAATTGCGAGGGTGATGACAGTGACGGTGGTGGTGATGATTACAGCTGATGTGAAGCTGGGTTGTCCCAGAGCCACTTTTCACTGCAGTCTAGTAGTCCTGGGGAGTGACGCGACTCCGTCAGAGCCAGACTATGGCTTTCTGCCCTGTCCGCCCGATGTTTCCCTCTCTTCCACCTCGGTGCTGGAGATCGAGCCGTCACTCTGGCAAATTTATGTTTATTTTTCTTTCACTTTTGTTGTCTTGTTATTAGGCCCAAGTCTCCAGCTCCCTCCTGTCATCTTACACGTGAGGAAACTTTCTAAACAGACAGTTTGACTTCGCTTAAACGAGTTCCTGCTGAACGCTGGAAGGCACCGGACCAGTACAGAATCCTAGACTTTTGCCTTCAAAATGTGCTGGGACAGCAGTTCTTAATCAGTCGTTACTGGGTCACAGGCCACTTCCATGTTTATATGGAACTCTCGGGGTTCTATATACCAGTACTGTAGAGTGTGACGATTTTACCTAGATCACTGGGGGGAGCACTGCTTTAGGAGCCTGCAAGTGAAGATATCACATCTGTTTAACATACACTTTTTCCTTCACTATCCTTACATCTGTTTGTGGTATTTCTCTCCATTCTTAATACAATAGAATTAAAATGAAGTTACTTAGACTCCAGCTAACTCTCGAGTGTTCAGAAAGAAGTGGGGCATGTTCTTGTCTCATTTGCTTTGAAAGTGCCCGTTTTTTCCCGTCAGGCTTTTTGTTTTATCCTTTGAGACACAGACTGACATTTACTTAACAGACTTTCTGCTTGTTTCTTTCAGTGAGTGTGTCCGTTTGAAGCCCACGGACATACAGCCGGACATCTTCAGCTATCTCTTGCATTTGATGTATACTGGGAAGATGGCCCCTCAGCTGATTGACCCCGTCAGGTTAGAACAAGGGATCAAGTTCCTGCACGCCTACCCTCTGATCCAGGAAGCCAGCCTGGCCAGCCAGGGAGCCTTTTCTCATCCCGACCAAGTTTTCCCACTGGCATCTTCCTTGTACGGCATTCAGATTGCAGACCATCAGCTGAGACAAGCCACCAAGATCGCTTCAGCACCTGAGAAGCTGGGGCGAGAGCCCCGGCCGCCACCCTCCCGGATGAGCCAGGAGCAGGTGCCTGAGGCCGCGCAGCTGTCGCAGCTGACTTCCAACCTGACCCAGGTGAACCGGACCCACCTGACACCCTCCGACCCCCTGCAGACCTCCCTGTCTCCAGAACTCATCTCCACCCCTGTACCTCCCCCTCCTCCTGGGGAGGAGACCAATCTGGAAGCTTCTTCCTCCGATGAGCAGCCGGCCTCGCTCACCATCGCTCACGTCAAGCCGAGCATCATGAAGAGGAATGGCAGCTTCCCCAAGTACTACGCCTGCCACCTGTGCGGCCGGCGCTTCACGCTGCGGAGCAGCCTGCGGGAGCACCTGCAGATCCACACCGGGGTGCCCTTCACCGCCAGCCAGCCCGGAGAGAGCCGCGGCCCCCTGTCCCTCTGCAGCAACGCCGCTGACCTGGGGAAGGACGCCATGGAAGTGCCTGAGGCGGGGATGATCAGCGACAGCGAGCTGCAGCACATCTCCGACTCCCCCATCATCGACGGCCAGCCGCACTCGGAGACGCCGCCGCCCTCCGACATCGCGGACATCGACAACCTGGAGCAGGCCGACCAGGAGCGCGAGGTCAAGCGGCGCAAGTACGAGTGCACCATCTGCGGGCGCAAGTTCATCCAGAAGAGCCACTGGCGGGAGCACATGTACATCCACACCGGGAAGCCCTTCAAGTGCAGCACCTGCGACAAGAGCTTCTGCAGGGCCAACCAGGCCGCGCGGCACGTGTGCCTCAACCAGAGCATCGACACCTACACCATGGTGGACAAGCAGACTCTGGAGCTCTGCACGTTCGAGGAGGGCAGTCAGATGGACAACATGCTGGTGCAGACCAACAAACCCTACAAATGCAACCTGTGCGACAAGACGTTCTCCACGCCCAACGAGGTGGTCAAACACTCTTGCCAGAACCAGAACTCGGACGTTTTTGCCCTGGACGAGGGGCGCTCCATCCTCCTGGGCAGTGGGGACTCGGAAGTCACGGACCCCGAGCACCCGGTGTTAGCGTCCATCAAAAAGGAGCAGGAGACCGTGTTGTTAGACTGACCGTCGCTTCTCTTTTTAAAAACTGTCATTTTTACAAAGACTATTTTCCCTCCCTTCCCCGGCGCAGAATTAGCGTTCTCCATGGCATGATACAAATAGGTCCCCGCCCCGCCCGCCCCGCCCGCCCCCCCTCCATAAAGGCTTTGTGCATTATAAACCTGGAACATATTTACTTTGATTCAGGGGATATTGGAAAGATAATGGTCAGTAGTACTTACAAACTCAAATCCATTTTTGAGACGTTTTAGATTATTTAAAAGCATACTTGGAGCAAATGAAGGGTCTATAACAAAACCAAACCACTAGAAAGCAATTTGGGAAGCTAGAATTATGACTTTCCCTGGGTGAAGAAGTCTTCCTTGTCAGAAAAACAATGTCAGAAAACATAGCATGCTTAGAGATGCAGCTGAGCGCTGTACTGTGCGAAATCTAGGTGGGGGGGGAGGGGCTTGAAACCTAAGAGAACGTTCTTGGTATTTATCCTCCAGGGATCTTATTTCAGAATTCATCCTTAGAGATTATGTCCAGTCAAGGAAATCGTTAGTTAAGAAATCTACTTGAACAAAACACAAACGAGGAAAAAGTAATAATGTGATGGCAATCTTAATTTTTGGATAAAACATGACCAGCCGTGAATCTGTGTGTTTATAAGAGAAAATGTGTAGATACTTGCTATAAACAGGTGAATGAATGCACATGCCTTATCTAATCGCTGGCTTCTTTCAAAGCCAAACAACAACAAAATGCTGTATTTTAGTTTCTGACAAATTTGTTTTAAAAATCAATTTGAAGGCACTAGTCTATCAATTGTCTTTCTGAACAGAAAGCGACATTCCATTCTGCCAACGGTAAAGTTGTCTCAGCACTGACCAGCTGCTGCTTAACCAGTGTGTGTCACGCAGGAAAAAGGTCCAGGAATATGCATCTTAGCAGGCAAGGCATGAGCAGAGCATGTAGTAACCGTAATGACTTTAAAAGTGAAGGCTAATAGTTTACTGGCAGTATTCAGTGAAGCATCAAAAAGGGCAAAGAGAAAACAGGACATAAAAAACCGAATAGCTGTTTGGGGAAAAAAAAAAAAAAAAAAAAAAGTGGTCTGTGGTTGTCAATGTTTTTTTTAACACCTGCAATTTCCTCCATTGGCCTAAGAGCAGTAAAATGTGTCCATGAATCTTCCCGCAGGCCAGTAACGGTGCGGCCTGACAGGACAGAGCAGGAAAGAAGGGGAAGAGGAAGAAAACTCAATAGCCGCGCTGTACGTCCGTGTATGTTAAAAACTGAATATCCCGTCGTCCTCGTTCATGTATAGTTGAGTTCTCAGATTTGTAAGTTTTTATACATACTTTCACTGAATAAACATTTAATTAAATGGGTACGTGGTTTTGGCTGTATGTTATTAACCCAAAAAGAGGCAGGAAGGGCGGGCCTCCCCGGTGGCGCAGCGGTTGAGCGCTGGGTGGCGAAGCTGCCCGCGGCCTCTGCAGCGCCGGTTCGATCCCCGGCTGCTCCCCGGCCACCGGAGGAGGGTCCCACATGGCGCGCAGACCTCTCCTGCCGCCCGCTGCTCCCCTCAGCAGTGTATTTCGGTCCTTCTGCCTGCTCTGCTCCCCGCTCTGGCTCTGGTGAATTCTCTCACCCTCCCGCGCTTCTGACTGTACCCAGTGCTTGTATAAATAAATAAATCTTAAAAAAAAAAAAAAAAAAAGATGCAGGAAGGGCAAGTAGCATCACATCCAGAGCACTTGCTGGCTGTGTCTCCTCCTCATGTCTCCAGAACCTTTCGCATGTCCCCTGAGTGGCATTTTCCACATTTGTAAAAGCAGGACGCAAACAACTGCACTGATCACAAAACGGTGAGAATCAAATGAGTAAATTATTTAGGAAGATGCTACGCACAAGGTTTGACTGGGAATGGGCGTGGAGATTGCCTTACCCAACGTATTTTGGTTTCTCATTGCTATTAATTGAAGGAGTGCATAAAATCCAATCTGTTTTAGAAAGAGAATTGGCTTTCCCAGCAGGTAACATTTCAAATATCCAAGTAGAGGGTAAACATAACAAGGAGTACCTCCTAGGTACCGTGCAGGATTAAGTCATAAACCAAGCTTCATAAAGTGCAGCTGCAAGTGATCCCAACGGAATACATTCGTGACTTCTGAAAACTCCCACCTGAACAACCCAACCGCAGCCTCATAATTCAGTGAATAATGTGTTCCAGAAATACCCAGATCAAATAAAATATATTTCACTAAAATAATTTCCTTTACTTGAACATTTTTCCTTTTTAAATTAAAGCTTTTCATTTACCCCTTCACACTCTTGCCTTCCCCTTAACTCCCAACCTTGTTTTAACAAGGAAGAAGAAAGGAGGCCACGAGTTGTTTGCCCAAACATGACATAAATTCGTGCTACATAAACCTACATTGTTAAATATTGAGTGCCACGTCACCCTTAAATAAGTTAAATGATCTTTTGTCTGTAGAAGAACTGGGGTGTAGGCCAGAGGTGCGGGGGGAGGATTCACCAGAGAGAGTGGGGAGCAGAAAGGGTAGATTTTACTGAAATACGCTGCTAAGGGGAGCAGCGGGCAAGACAGGAGAGGTCTGCCATTCCACATGTGGATTAAGTCCCTGGCCAGCGATAAACTCAAGCCATAGGGGTGATAATGCTGAGACTGGGCCACCAGGGAGGCCCAGTTAAATGAATCTTGTGCCAAGTTAACTTCTCTGAATTTCTGTGAAATCGTGGTGACTTTCACTGCATGCTGCAAAGCCCTCCTACCCACCTCGCAGTCCTAGGACATAAGATGTAGGCAAAGGGCCCTCAAGACCAGAGAGTGGACTCCAACCCTTTTTGTTAAAATCATCAGAACCAGGGCCTCCCTGGTGATGCAGCGGTTGAGCGCTGGGTTGCGAATCTGCCCGCAGCCACTGCAGCACCGGTTCGATCCCCGGCTGCTCCCCGGCCACCGGAGGAGGGTCCCACATGGCGCGCAGACCTCTCCTGCCGCCCGCTGCTCCCCTCAGCAGTGTATTTCGTCAGTCTGTCTGTTCTGTTCTCTGCTCTGGCTCTGGTGAATTCTCTCACCCTCCCGCGCCTCTGACTGTACCCAGTGCTTGCATAAATAAATCAATAAATCTTTAAAAAAAAAAAAAGTAAAAAAAAAAACAAATTTAAAAAAAAAATCATCAGAACCAGCCACTATTGTTTTTAGTCATTTTACCTTGCAAGACAAAGAGCGGTAAGGCATCCAAACTGAACCCTTCAGTTGAAAATGTGAGACTGTGGTCATACATGTCAAGTAAACCACCAAATGTCTATGTTTAAAAAGGTATAGCTGCTCAGCAGCGTGGTTGGGGACGATGGTGCAGTGGACGCGATGGTTATGATAGGGGTGGGGTGAGCCCTCCACTAATTCACCAGAGAACAGATTCTCAGACAAAATTACTTGTGCAGGGTGTGCTGTTTATTGTAATGAAATGTAACTTCATCAAGTTGCCTCTGCATTTTCATAACAATGCTCAGAATCCCCAAAATACTTAAACTGACTTTTGGTTCATTTTAGTGCTCCATTGTGGTCTAGAACAAATTACCAGCATATATCATTTGCAAGATTTAGGCATAGAAACCTTTAAGCAAATAAAAATCATCTCAAAATACAGTTAGTCTGCCTTTTCTAGAACTCACCCTTCAAACAGACGGAAGAATATCAACTAAAAATTGTCAGCAGCTCTCTAAATAAAACTAAAATTAGAATCAGAGATTTTAGTGTGAAAAAAAAATGGACCAGGATGAAATCCTATTCTGTGGTTTCCTTCTCTTCGGGCAGATCAGAATGTTTTTGGACATGAATGATCATTCTATTCCCAACTCAAGCTTGCACTATTCTCTGGAAAATGTACAATACCTGCCCTACCTAAATCCCCGGTTGTTGGGAAGAGAGCTCCTTTGGAGATGGTGCTGGCAACTGAAGAAACAAATTGCGGGAAATTGGATTCTATATTGGGCGTCAGTGTGCTAGTGGCTTCCATTTACTCCTTCCAACAACCCAGTCAAGAGTATGTCTCATTTCTTACAGGTAGTTGAGGCCCAGAGAAGTTAAATAACTTTTCTGAGGTGGCCCAGCCAAATAGAGAGAGCCAGGAGTCTACCGCCCACGGCACTCACTCAAAGGCAACAACTCCCCCACAATGGTACAATCACCCCACATAGAACATTCGACCAGCATCTGGCAACTGACAATCCCCACATTGTCGCAGTGACAAGTCTTTAAATTCAGCAAAAGATAAGATGCACCGGGCATGCTTTTCATTCTCATCTGACCTACTTTTTGTGTTTTGCTTCACACCTAGGTTTGTCCAAATTATAGAGGAAAAAAAATTCTTGCCCAAGTGTGCAAACGTTTCTGTGGGCTAAAAGCAAGGGGGATGGGTAGCCGGGAGTGGAAAGCTAACCTATTTGTTCTGCTTATGGACAATTGACGCAAACCTGTTTCAAATGCTTGTATTACTGCAGGGGTCCTGAAGCTGCAATCAGCACCTCAGGATCTCCTGGAGGGCTTGATCAAACAGATTACAGGCTCCACCTGCAGTGTCTGTCATGATTCAGTCGGTCTTGGTGGGGCCAAGAATTTGCCTTTCTAACAGCTTCCCAAATCATGATGCTGAGGGTGCTCAGAACAGGTCTCCCCAAGACTTGTCATTTTGGCCTGTGGACTATTTCAAGTTGAGGTCAATCAAGGCCCTGTAGACTCATAAGAAAACCTAAACTCCCCCGTCCCCACTAAGAAGAATGAAAATCAGGGGTATTACCCAGAATGCAGTACCTCCTTTCTAGTAGCCTTTCTATTAGAGAAACTTACAGACCCGGCAGTGGAAACAAGTTGTGAGTCACATTTTCTTTTTCAATGTGACTCCCCTCCCTCTTCCAAAACCTCAGGGCCTGCTCCATTCCTTAGGCGCATGCCCTCGTTTTCCTCACTGAATTGGAATTCTCATCTTCTACCCTGATTCCCAATAGGCCCATGAAATTAAATCGGTATTTTTCTCCTGTTAATCTGTCTGATGTTTTAATTGCTTGACCAGCCTGAGAAGAACCTAGAAGGGTTAGGCGGAAATTTCCTTTCCCCCCCATGACGGTGAGAGTGATGGTGGTGATAGTATGAGCAGTCAGTATTGCTATATAATTTCTGTTCTATTTTACTGTCTTTTCTGGGTTCTACCCGCTTCTCAGAATAATTACTAAGAGAGCTAACGAGGGCCAGAAAGGGCTCACACCATCAGCGTGCTTTTTCCTTTGAAGCAAGCTTGCTCCTTAATGAGACCCACATGATATACGGATTTGTGCAAAAGCGACTAGAAGTGTGTATTTGCAAGGCCCTGGGTCAAAACTTCCCTCTTCTCATTCTAAATGCCTTATAATCTGTGAGCACAGAAAGAACAAAATACCCTAAGTTTTTGAGGAGGCCCCCAAGATGATGCAACTTATGAGAGGCAAGGATCCGGATGAGAAAACAAAATGGGGTCATTCTGGTAAGTGGCCAAGATCACACAGCTACTTGTAATTAAAGATCCCGGTCCTCCTTCCAGGGCCCTTCCTGCTACCATCATACTGCCAAGGAATTTTCTATTCAGTGAGAGATCCCTTAAGCAAGCAGAGGTCAGAAGGCAGCCAGCCATTAAGAACAGGGAATCTGGGGAGACTTGGGAGTGACCCGGAAGGCACTGAGGCTTGGGCCTCCTCCCAACCAGAGTGCTCACCCCACATTGCACTTCCCTCCCTTCAAGTCTCCCCAGGGAGGTGTGCTAGCAAGCTGCAGATGCTCGAAAGGCGTAGAGAGAGGAAAGAAAAGAAATGCAGAGGACACAGTGGATGTTGCTTCTCTAAACGAGCGTGTCTGAGTAAGAGGCATTTGATAGAATCGGTGTCATTATTCTGAATCCACCGAAAGCCAAGAAGACAGGAGTGGTCAGTAATTTCTTTCTCTTCTATTTACTATGAATTCAACCTGCTGCCTTCTGCTTTCCAGTTTAGAAGCGCCCTCACAACAAGAAAATCTCAGGAAGAGCTTAGTCGTACATTCTGAAGTGAGGAAACTACTGTTTCTTCCTTCTCAGTCACCAAATCAGTTTACGCATGAAAATTTAAGAAGAGTTGCAAGGATCTGTGCGCTTTCTGGCCTGTGTCCCCAAGAACACAGGAGAGCCACGGGTATCGCTCCATCCTCTCTTGCCCCGGACCGCCTCTATCTACCCAGCTGCCCGGCCTGCATCTAGCGCCACGGAGCGCCACGGTCCCTCCCCATTGCTGTTGCCATTCATCTTTAATGATAGAAATTCTGATAGTTCCTGCCCTGTTTATCTTTTCGAAAACAAACCCATAAAACCGGGCAAGGCAGGTGAGCACAAGATGGAGAACTTGCATCATCTCTAAGCGCCGGGGACCACCCAGGCCCGGGGCAGGCAGGTCATGGTGGACTCAGGCAAACGGATGACGGAATCTTGGAGGTCCCGGTAGACGGGGCAGGCTGTTGTGCCCCAGGTGCAGGCCCAGGAGGCAGGGAGGTGAGGGCCCTTCCCACCCTGCCTAATCTCTCGCCTAGAGCTCGCCTCAGAGAATCACCTCAGGGCGACGCCGCCCTTTTCTCCCGCGCTCCCTGGGCCCAGATGTCCATGTCGTGGGGAGCCCGCGGGTCACAGGGGTCAGTGGCGCGAGGGCAGGAAAAGCCCGATGGACTCATTGACCCTACAGAGGCCTCTAATGCGGCAGCAGGAACCAGACAGGCTGACTGGTGGGCATGAGGGACGCAGGGGTGCCCTGAGGCTGGCAGCAACCAAGCCTCCCAGCCGCCCCCCACCAGACACCCCCCATCTCCATGCCCCCTCTCGGGTGTCTCTCCTCAGTCCCGAGACCTCCTCGCGTGGGCATTTGTACTTACAGGTCCGCGGCCCGCGGCCTCCATCTTCTCGGCCGGCGGTGGGTGATTACAGGTGCACATGCCCAGGCTCTTTGCAGTAACATGTTATCACGTGTGGGGAATGAAATGTGGGTGGAAGGCAAGGCCACAGGTGGTGGCTGCAGAGCTGGCAGCGTGGGGGTGAGGAGCCCGATCAGTCCCCTTTCCCTACACCAACTCTGCATTGGTCTAAAGAAAACAGAAATGGGGACCCGAGATGGCTGACACCACACCACCCTGCCCTCCACAAACGGCTCCAGCCCCATCAACCAGGCCGTGTGTCAAAATAATATCAAAAAAGCACAGTCTGCCCCTTGAAAGCCACCCCGGCAGGTTGATGTGGGGACTTAGGACAACAGCCCAGGCGTCTCCTGGGGAGACTGGCCCTGAAGCCTGTGCTTTCCAAACTCCTGTCTCTAGTCACGGCTTTGTGAGTGGTGGGTAGCCAAACCTGAGAGTGGCGGAAAGACATACTGACATTTCCTACAACTAATATCGTCTCCCTGCTCCGCCACCCCTTGCCCATGTCAGCATGTAGCTCCACATCCAAGTTTGGTAACCCAGAAACTTCATTCTTCACCCCACAATGTTCCCAAGAGAGACTATTGGGTACAGGGCCCTAATATCTCTCATCTCACATCTTTCCAGTTAAACAGCCACCACTTCAATAATCACCATTATCTCGCCTGTGACTGTTCCAACACTCGGCCATCTCCTCCCAGCCTCCAGGCTTTGATGCTCAGGAAGCCAGACGCCATTCTCTGCATGCTTTGCCAAGGTTAGGTAAAAACTCCTTCTGAAGGGCTGTCCGGGACTTCGCAGGATAACAAGCATTAAATTCCAGCGATACCCTAGCATTGTGATAACCAGAATCTCTACATGGGAGTGGACTGGGGGAAGGATCACAGTGCCCCCCTGCTGAACGCTCGGTGAGTGCCTAGAGTAATCCCACTCAAGTGGCCCTGCAGTGTCATTTCTGAAAGGTCTTTATAAAGCATCCTACATGTCCTCAGTTTTAAGGTTCTTTCCTAGGTAGCAGAAGAGTCCCTGAGGCTAATAGGGGTAAGTAGGGCCAAGCACAATCATAGTTTTAAAATTAGCTTAATTTATGATATTAACTCTGTGCCCATTAATTAAAAAATTGGATTAGAACTAGTATTAGTTATCCAAACAAGTGAGTGACTTCTGGACTCTATTTTTTTTTAAAGTAATTATCTTTATCACAGGCCACCACCACCAGCAGCTCAGCCAAAACTCCTGGTCAACTCAGAGTTGGTCATCTAACCATTGCAAACCTGCATTGCACAAAAATCGCCAGGTGGTCCAGGCTCACTGCCAGAATCATATTAGAACTGGAGAGTCACAAAAGCTTGACCCCCCCCTTGGTGTTGGTTGTTCAGGGGTCAGGTGCAGCCCCTTGCTCCCTGGGAATGCTCGGGCTGCGTCCACTCCCTTTCCTGCAGAGTTGGGTAAGGGGTTTCTAGTTCTGGTTATTGGCTGGGATTTCAGAGGTTGGTATGAATATTTTTTAAAAACTTTATGTTAAACTGTGTTTATTTCTGGGAGTCAGAGGTCAGCCAGAGACTTAATGAGATTCTAATTAACCGAGCCCCTAATGCAAAAAGGTTAATTTTTTGTATCTCCACACATAGTCCAGAGATATACCAAATTCCCATGATTCTTGGTGGTCGATGTCAATAGCTAGGTAAAAGCAGATGTTAAATATGTGATGAATATCACAACAGCAAAAACAGACTGAATTCAGATGAAATTATAGAAAGAAAATCCATGGCATTTAATTAGATTGCATTTTATTTAGGTTAATGAAAATCTGCCCCAAACAAAATTAGGAATCATATAGTTTCAGATTAAAGGAAACTGCTAACTTTGAAGCTTACACTGAAAGCTAAAATGTCCAGCCCTTGACTACCTGGAGCTCCAAACATCAAAAGAAAATGTTGGAAAAAAATATCTGTGTACAAAGGGGAACATGTTTTATTCCGCAATTACAAGTGGGGAGAGTTTACAAGTCTTGCATTGTTTTCTATTGTACATAGCTCCGTAGTAAACGCCAAAAATAGCAAAATTTAGGCACTTGCTCCACCTTCTGCAATTTGCATTGGATTATTAAGTACCTTGTAGGTTAACAGCAGCTTTAGAACTATAATTCAGAATTGGATTTCATGCTACTGTTTATAACATTCTTGTTAATAAAGCAAAGTCGCTTCACGGACAAAGATCTAGAGCTTGAGGGCACATCCAACATATTTGTCCAAAAAGCAGAGTCAGGAGCGGTGACCACGAAAATCAACTTTGAGGATCAGCATGAGCCAGCCACGTGTGGCCACAAGACCAAACACAAATGGAATGAAGTGGCAGGAAGGAATTAAAACCCAGAGAATCTGTTTGCCACAAAGTACACAAATCTCCAATCTGTTCAAAATAGCACAGAGTTTCTTCCTGCCACAGAGAAGAAGTGAGCCAAATCCACAGCTGTCAGAATTCCTTACAGGTTGCTGTTATCGCCAATACTCTAGTTGTTCAAAAATGGAGACTGGCACTTGGAGATTTTCTAAGTCTCAAATTGGCAAAGGAAAGATTGAAATCAGAGTTTATTTTTTAATTTGAGTACTTTAAAAGGTAGCTTTCATAGATTTGAAAATAACTCCTAAAAGGATACTAATGAGGTGTCTTCCTAATACAGCTCATTTTTTATTGTCAGGCCTGATGATATAACAAACGTTTCCAAGACCACCTCTTACGTAAGGCATGTTTACTATTATGCCTACTTAAAAATTCTTTCTAGACACATCGCTGTTTAAAACCAGTATTTTTTACTTTCAGGAAGACACCACCAGGTGGTAGCATTGTATCAGTACGTCAATCTGAAAACCCTCTGGTTTGTTTCTGAGGATATTTCTGTGGACATCAACTCAAATCCGTGTAAAGTGGCGACACTAGGTACTGGATCCAAGAAAAAGTTCCAGCTTCTGTGTTCAGAACAGAACACAGTAAACATATGTGCCAGGCTTCCTGTAACTACTAAAGCCAGCAAATCTAAGGGAAGCAAATATTTTATTTCAATCAGTTGTCAAACCACAATTTATCTAAATGAACATAATGCAAGATTGTTCTTAAAAGAGTGGACACAAATACCGCAGGAACACAACCCGAATCTACCAAACACCATCTGTAAAGCACCTGACCTAGTTCATGCTGTGTTTGTGTGACCCAGCAAGAGGGCAGAGTCAAAAAAACCATCCATTCTTTCCGTGATAATGTGAAAAACACTTCACTACTTTGCCTCAGGATGAAACACACTCATCTGTCCAAACAACCATAACAATAGGAGAAAAGACTTCAAACTACTGCTACTGAAAAAAACTTCCTTCCAACCTCCACTGGGCTAGAAAGAAAAATCTCACAGTAACAATGGAAGCCTCAGTATGTCTCCCACACACACACACACACACACACAGTTTATTTTTAGCACGCTGGGCATAATAAGAAAGTGACCCATTTCAGAGTGATACTAAAGACAGATCTAAACCTTAGTGAATTTCAAAGTAAGACTCGCTGATCAGGAATGTTATTTCTAGGAAGCTGTTTTCACAGGTTTCAAGTGAGGCTTTAAAGCTTCCCGAGGCTTCACCATGGCCCATGCCCCGTCGTCCACGCTGCCACCCAGGAGGAGTGTACTTACTATACTGCATGTTTCCTTAGACGTTAAGAAAAAAATATACATTAGATAGAGAAGGAGGATTACTTAAAACATACATATAAACACATAAAGAATGATATCCAGTTTGAGATGCAGAACTAGGTATTGCCAACTCCAGTTCCAGGTTAAGAATGGAGAACCGTAAGTCAGAAACATTACACAGAGCAAGGGAAAATGAGAGGGGGGCGGGCCTTGAAAGGGGACACGTTAAATGGCTGTAGCTCCTGACGAAGCCTCAGGATTGTCGGGGTTCTCCAGAAACAGGGTCTGTCAGGGTCTGTTGATGTGCCTGTTCTTCCGCTGGAAAAGTTCTTGCGTCTTGGTCACGAGCCTCCGCAGCAGCATTCATGTTCACCTCTGACTTGTCTTCACATTCTCGTTCTGGTCTTGCCAATATAGTTGAACTGTAGAAGGAAGAATCAAAAGCAAATAAAACCTCCATTTCCTCCTCCTCTTACTTTAACAACAAACAGCTGTGAACATGAGCCGACGCCCTGCAGACCCTAGTGCCAGAGTGCAAGGACAGCGAGGACCCAACCCTAGTGTGCTGTGCTCCGCAGCACCAGTGCGGGGTCCCCACAGCTGGGGACATCTGCGAGACCCACAGCTGGGCCTATCATGCGTACTGGAAGCATTTCATAAATGCTTGTTGCTGCTGTTGGGAGGAAAGAAATCTAGAGAGCTAGAAACTCAATTTCAAGCTGTCTGATATAAACTTACTTTGAACTTTGTTATAAAAAAATTCAGTTCTGAGTGAGCACAAAACACTTCTTATGCTTTTGAATCAAACATGCACACACGCGCATACTTGAGCACACACTCACCCTTTTTTCCTTCTAAAGTAGTCACATGGGGGGGTATCAAATGAAGTCATTATTTTCATGACACTCATAAGACTGAGCACCATTTCAATTGAGAAAAAAAAAATGACGCTAATCTTGATCTTCTTCTGTTGTGCTCTTCAGTTATTCCCCTAACTGAAGACTGCATGGAGAACCCCTCACAACAAATTTGCATTCAGGGGCCTCCCTGGTGGCCTAGGGGTTAAGTCTCAGTGCTATCACCGCTGCAGCACAAGTTCGATCCCCAGCCAGGGAGCTGACCCACATGGGGCAGCAGACCTCTCCTGTCTCCCCGCTGCTCCCCTCAGCAGTGTATTTCAGTGGATCTGCCTGTTCTGCTCCCCACTCTGTCTCTGGTGAATCCTTTCATCCCCTGCACCTCTGGCTTATGCCAGCTATTCCCGAGGTCTTATATGCAGAAATAAAAATCAATCCTAAAAAAAAATTTGCATTTAATGGCATAAAAGGAGAAAAGTATCTAGGAAGGATACTTACAGGATGCTTTAGGGGTCCGCCAGTTCTGATTTTGCAGGTTCTCTCTCTCCTTTCTGTGCCTCCTCCTGTGTTTGTGTTCTGATGTCTTCTGACTCACGATGCGCTTTTCTTTCCTGAAGTTCTTCCTGGCTGTCTTCCTGCTCTTGATGTTTGGGTCCGTTTGTATCCAGGTGCTCTTTTAAGCCTCCTGAATGTTCCAGGGCTTCCAGAGCTGACACTTGCTTCTCGGGGTGAATGACCGCGTGATCCCCTTTTCCGTCTCCCGGGGAGTCACAAGGTGTTTTCTCTATCCTTTCTCCTAAGCCGGCTCCGCCATCATCTTCTGGCCCAGACTTGGTTCCAGGCACTTCTCTCTCGCCCTCAGATGGAAGAACGACCTCGTCAAGCTGCTGGGCATCGACCCGGGGGCTTTCTACCTGGACGGCTTCGCTCACTTCTCTGGCGGTATCTGCGTGTGTCTGTTGCAGGGCGACTGGCGCCGACTCCTCGCTGGTGGAGAGCGTCTGTGTGTCTTCCTGTGTGGGGGCTGGAAGTTCGCTTTCTTCCTTCTCGACTTTCTGCTCCAGTTGCTGCTTGTCAGCTTTTATCAGGGGAGCCTGTGTCTGGGGCCCAGTGGCGGGTTCTTCCGTGCTTACTAACTGCTCCACGGCGGTCTGAATCACGTTTTGTACAAATTTGCTGCTCTCAGTCTCAAGCTGCAGAATCTCATTTTCGGCCTCGGAATCTTCCATGCTCACCGTGCCCTCCTGGCAAACCACCTGCTCGCGATCTTGCTCTGCCCCCTGTGTCTGGGATGCGGTGGTGGCTCCTTCCGGGTCAGCGCTGGAACTTTCTCCAGTGGTTGCAGGTACCGTTACCGGTGTCGACTCTGCCCCAGATTCAGTCCCTGGGGCCAACACCTCTGCCCCCTGCTGAGCCTCACTGTACTCGGTGGATTTTTCTTCCAGTACTGAATGTGCCTCTACAGATCCCAAAATTTCAGCCGTTTCTAAAATCTTGACGGTTTTTCTTAAGACCTTCTTCTCTTCCACCGCGGGAGCTGTTAGGGTTTGTGATGCGTCGGAGCTTTGAACCTGAATTTCTGTGCAGACCGTTTCCTCTTGGGCCGGAGAACTTTCTTCCAGTCTGCGGGCTTCCCTCTGCCCTTCTGCGCTGCTCGCGTCCTCTGTCCGACCCGGGGGGTGCTGACTGGGCTCTTCAGATGTGACATCGAGGTCACCCTCGGGTTTCTCTTCACTCCCTTGGGTGGATTTCGCTTCGGTTTTCTCCTTCTCTACCTGACCTGCCATCCCTCTGTCTGCCGGGGCTGGAACAGTCTCGGTTTGACTCTGGAGTTCAGTATCATCCTCCCTTCCAGATTCAGCTTCTTTAGGAACTTGGTCGTCTGAGGCAACTTCAGGGATCCTCTCCTGACTGACTGTTACTTCTGTGTCTGCAGACACTCCAAGTCCTTCGACGGGAGGGCAGACTTTGGGTTCCTCGCCAGCTTCTTGAGTCACCTCAGTCTTCGACGGGACAGAGGCCGCTTCCCCTGAGGCCTCTGCAGCCGTGTGTTCTGAAACCACCTTGTCTTCTGAATGGTCCACATCCTCCTGCTGCGAGGGAAGGCCGCCGGGTGCTGGCCACGTCTCTGTCTGTGCTCCTGGGGCCGAGGACTGCCCTCCAGGGGCCTCCGCCCCGTCTTCACAGACCTGGTCCACGCGCTTGTGTTGTGTTGGCTTTAGAGCTTCAAGGTCGGCCCCAGGGGTGCCTCCAGGGCTCTCCCCGGCGGTGAGGGTGTCGGCTGAGTCAGGAGCAGCGGTTTGTTCCAACACAATTTCTGATTTGGCCCCAACCGAGGTTTCGGCTTCTTCACGAGCGGCTGTGGGCTGGCGGGACTCGGCGCTCTCTGGATCTTGAGGGGCCATTCCAGAGCTTTCCCCGGCAGGGGGAATGGTGGCCTCTCCCTCTGTCAAATCCTTGCTCTCCTGAACCTGAACTTTGGACACCACATCCACCTCCGTCTTCAGGTCTGGCGCTGGAGCCTCCTCGCGGGCTTCTTCGGCCTCCTCTGGTATTTTCGGTTCTGCCTTCACCCCGTCCGCCAGCGCCGGGGCGTCGGGCCGCCGGGCCTCGTCCCCCACCTTCTCCGCCACGGCCCGCAGGACCTCCTGGGTCCGGCGCTCCAGGTCTTCCGGGCTAGGCCCGCCGGCCTCCGCCTCCTGAACGGGGGTGGCCTCCTCGGTGGTGTCGGGGGACTCGGTGAGCTGGGAAACGGCCGACACCATGTCCGTGGTCTCCTCAGCCCCGGAGGCCTCGGTCGCTTCTTCCGCACCAAACGCCCCCGTCGTTTCCGCGGCCGTCACCGCCTCGGAGGTCAGCTCGGAGGCCACCTCGCTCGCCAGCGTGTCGTCGCCGGCGTCCCTGCCCTCGGGCGCGGCCGCCACAGGGGCGTGGGGGGCGGCCTCCCCTCCCCCCGCCGGCCCCGCGGGCGCCGCGGCCTCGCCGCGCGCGGGCTCCACAGGCCCCGCCACAGGCTCCACGGACGCGGAGATCCACGACGGAGACCGTTCCTCCACGTCGGGGGGCGGCCTCGCCCCGTCCACCGCGGCCGGGGGCGCCTGCGGGGCCTCCGCCGCGGCCTGGGCCTCGGGCCGCTCCTCGCCGCTCGGGGCTCGCAGGGCCTCCATCTTCTCCCTTTCGACGGCCTCGAACTCGGCCAGCGGGACGACGGCGGGCACTTCGGGGTCGTCCTCGTTGGTCTCGGCGGGGCCCGCGTCCCCCACCGGGGCCTGCTCCTGCCTCCCGTCCGGCCGTTTCTTCCTCCGCCCGGGAATGAGCTTCTTGATGGAGACCCAGGACTCCTCCCGGCCGGGCTCGGCCTCTGAGGCGGGAGGCTCGGCCCCGGCGGCGGGGCCGGCCTCGTCGTTTTTCTCCTCCAGCTTCGCCTTGGACTTCTTCCGGGCCGTCACCAGCCTCTTGAAGGACTCCCAGGTGGAGACGCCTTCCCCCTCCGAGGGGCTTCCCGCCGGCTCCGGGGAGGAGCCCCCCTGGGCCGCGTCGTGCTCCGGGGCGCTGGCAGGGCCGGGGTCTGCGCCTGCCTCTTTGTCTTTTCCGCCTTCGTCGGGTTTCTGGCTGTCGCCCGCCAGGGTTTTGGGGTGCCCCTCCTCGTCAGAAGAGGACGCTTTTCTTGCCCTTTTCTTGGAGGACCCCACACAGATTAACGCTTCCCAGGACACGGAGGTGTCCACCTTGCGCCGGGGCTCCTCGGGCCTCTGCTCTTCGCCGCTTCCTTTGCCCTCGTCCTGCATCTCAGAGGTTGCGCTCTCTGTGGAGGACAAGGTGGCACTCTTCACCTTGTCCAGCTCGTCCTCTTTGTCGCTCTCGGAAGGCCTTCTGACACGCTTCTTGGGCGTCACCATCTTTTTGAAAGAGGCCCAAGGGGTGATGCCTTCTCTCTTTTTCTCCCCATCAGAAGTGACTCCTTCTTCCGCCTCGGCCTCGGGCGGGGCCTCGCCCAGGCCCTTCTCCACACAGGTGGGCTCCTCAGGCTCCTCTGGGGACGAGGCTGAACTGTCGCCCTTCTGCTCATCTGCGCTGTCGGGGGACTCTGGTGCCCCGGGCTGAAGCTCCCCGGACTCCTCATCTCCTGCGCCTCCTCGCTTCCCTTTCACTTTCTTCCCAGAAAGCTTTTTGAGGCCTGAGCTGGTGAAAAGTTTCTTTAAAGGGCTTCCTTGCACCTTGATTCTCTCCTGGGATGACAGGATCTCCGCCTCACTGACGACGCCTTCGGGGTGAGCAGACAAGGCTTTCTCCTCAGGACCCAGCTCCGGAGGCTGCGGGGGGTCCCCTTCCGAGGCTCCCACTTCTTGGGGCTCCACCTGCTCCTCGGTGGGTTCAGCTGCCTGAGCCTGGGTGCTGGTGTCAACCTCCATTTCAGGGGGCAGAGACGCTACTATTTGGGCGGCTCCCTCAGGTTCCTGCTCATCTGTCTCCCCCACGGTGGCGACGTGGACCTCCGCGACGATCTCTACTTTTTCATCAAACACTTCGGTTGCCAACGGGGCAACTTTCTCCTCAGGGGCCCCGGGCCCCTGGTCTTCGATGGGCAGCTCCACTTTCTCATACTCAGCGGAGAGCCTGGCCTCGCGCGCGGCCTCGCCCTTGGCGGCCGGCGGTTTCTCGCAGGTGGCTTCTGGCTTTTCGTTTTCTTCCGAGTCTGCTTTCTCGGGCTCGCGTTCCTTCTTCTTCTCTGAGGCTTCCAGCTCTTCCTCCTTGGGCTTCCTGAAACTGGTCTTCTTTCGCCAGCCCGCCCAACCCTGGGTGAAGAACTTTTTGAAGGGCGACGCCGTGTCACTGGCCAGCGGGCTGGTTGGAGATTCTGGAGACTTGGTCGGTTCTTGCTTTTCTCCCTCGTCTTTGCTCTGTTCTTCTGCTTGGTCGGGTTCGGCTTGAAGAGAAGCATCTGTGTTGTTCTGCTCGGGTTTCGGCACCTCCTCGGGTTGCTCTGTGCACGGCTTCAGTTCACTGTCCTTGGGTGTTGCTTCCGGGGCCTCCCAGCTGGGGTCCGGGTGGTCGCCAGCCCCGTTTGAGCCCCCTGCACCTTCTTCCTCATCTTTTTTGACAGTGAGTAGTTGGACGGTGTCAGACTTCTCGGTCTTATCCTTTTTCACAGTGAATTTAAAGCCAACAAACTTGAACACTTTCTTAAAGCCGACATCACTAGACTGAGACTCGGGAGGGTGGGTGAACTCTTCTAAATTACTTTCTGAAGAAGGAATCTGTTCAATTATCTCAGGCATCTCCTCCTGCCCCTCCTTGGCGCTATCTTGAACAGCTGCTGAGCTAGCTGCCATCTTGACATCTGAGTCTCTTTCACTCACATCTTCAGACTCTCGCTGTCCAACTATGAACAGAAAAAAGGGGGTGGGAGAGAAGGGAAAAAATGATTACAAGTCAATAAAATTAAATATTAAAAAACATGACCAATGAGGGCCTCCCCGTCGGCACAGCGGGATGAGCACAGCGCTGTGAAGCTGTCCGCAGCCTCTGCAGCGTGGGTTTGATTCCCGGCCAGCCAGGGAGAGTCCCACATGGCGCGGCAGACCCCTCTTGTCTCCCCTGCTGCTCCCCTCAGCAGTGCTTTCGGTCTGTCTGCCTGTTCTGTTCCCCGCTGTGTCTCTGGTGAATCCTCTCACCCTCCCACACCTCTGGCCTGTACCCCAACTCTTGTATAAAAATATTAATAAATAAATAAATGAATAATCTTAAAAAAAAACAAACCAAACAAACATGACCAATGAATACTTTCTTTAATGTCAGGCAAGTCCAGCACAGGGTAAGGGTTTCTCTCCTCTCGAGAGCTGGCTTCTCAGCCCAGGCATCTGTAATTACAGGTGAGTGCGCCCCGTGCTTGTGCTCCCAAGTGCTTTTTGCAATAAAACGTTACCACCTGTGGGCAACGAAACCTAGGAGGAAAACAAGGCCTCAGGGAGCAGCCACAGGGGCTGTGGCTGGTGGTGGGAGGTGAAAAAGAGCCTGAGCCGCTGCCTTTTCCCCACAGGACATGTGCTACTTTCTGTCATACACAAAAAGGCTATAAATTTGACACACATAAAAAGTCTTAACATATTGTAACAATTTACTAGACACCCGAAGCACAAAATTAAGGTTAATAATATATGTAGTGTCTAGACCAATACTTAAAATCCCAGTAATAAATATTCAAAAACAGAAACAATGTTTCCCCAAAATCTATGACTTCTTTCCATTGATATAATCTTATTTCTTTTTTTATTTTTTAAAAGTATTTATTTATTTATTTATTTATTTATTTATGCAAGCACTGGGTACAGTCAGAAGTGCAGGAGGGTGAGAGAATTCACCAGAGCCAGAGCGGGGAGCAGAACAGGCAGATTGACCAAGTACACTGCTGAGGGGAGCAGCAGGCGGCAGGAGAGGTCTGCGCGCCATGTGGGACCCTCCTCCGGTGGCTGGGGAGCAGCCGGGGAGCAGCCGGGGATTGAACCGGTGCTGCAGAGGCTGCGGGCAGCTTTGCAACCCAGCGCTCAACCGCTGCGCCACCGGGGAGGCCCGATATAATCTTATTTATCCATGAAAATAATTGTATTCCTTATGTGCAATATTACACATCTAGGTCTACAAATTTCCACCGTACAACTTACTGGGTTTTAGTTTAAAACTAAAGTCAAGAAAATTAACTGAGAAATTGTGCAAGGTGCTACCAAGAGCAGCTGGAGCCTGTCCCTTGTGCTGTGCTCTGTGGTAACCACAAGTCCTGTCCTCTGGCCCTTTCATTTCAAATGTTACCACATTTACATAGTTGAATGTACAGAGATGAAATCTGTAGATTTTCTGGGCCTCTTATTTAGCAGAGTAAGGAAGGATACGACAAGGTTTTCTAGCCCCATCCACGTGTAACATGATAGAAGAAACTGCTAGTGTGACAAAGCCAAGGTTGCCTCTACCTTTCTCATTGAAAATCAGCCAATCCCATTTACTGACATCAGCATCTAAGGTAGCATTTCCAAAAGTTAAAATAAAAAATACTGGGCCTCCCCGGTGGCGCAGCGGTTGAGCGCTGGGTTGCGAAGCTGCCCGCAGCCTCTGCAGCACCGGTTTGATCCCCAGCCACCGGGCGCCACCGGGCGAGGATCCCACATGGCACGCGGGCCTCCCCTGTCTCCCCGCTGCTCCCCTCAGCAGTGTATTTCATCAAATCTGCCTGTTCTGTTCCCCGCTCTGGCTCTGGTGAATTCTCTCACCCTCCCACGCTTTTTTTTTCTTTTTAATTTAAAGATTTTTATTTATTTACACAAGCACTGGAGGGTGAGAGGATTCACCAGAGCAGGGAACAGAACAGGCAGACTGACGAAGTACACTGCTGAGGGGAGCAGCGGGCGGCAGGAGAGGTCTGTTGCACCATGTGGGACCCTTGCCGGTGGCCAGGGATGGAACCGGCACTGCAGAGGCTGCGGGCAGCTTCGCAGCCCAGAGCTCAACTGCTGCGCCACGAGGGGAGGCCCCCTCCCGCGCTTCTGACTGTACCCAGTGCTTGTATAAATAAATGAATTGAAAAAAAATCTTTAAAAAAAATAAAATAAAAAATACTGAGCACTAAACACTTCAGATAGAGAAGGAAGTATGAAACAAAAACAAGAATCTCATTGTTTCGGTCAGGTACACTTCTTAAAGGATTTTCCTAATTTATAAATAACGTGGTCAAATTTAGACATCATGGTCAGTAAACAAAGAAACTGCCACGCACATTAAACACAGAGGCAAATATCCAGAGAAAATCCAGACATGTATGATTTGATAGTCTCGGGCCTCCAACCTTCACACCCCTTTCAGTTGGATCTTCAAAAGATACTTTCTGCTATTTTTTAAAAGCATGTATAATTTCCTCAGGGCCTCCCTGGTGGCGCAAGGGGTTAAGATGCAGTACTGTGAATCATTCACAGCCACTGCAGCACAAGTTCAATCCCTGGCCAGAGAGGTGACCCCATGGTGCAGCAGACCTCTCCTGTCTCCCCGCTGCTCCCCTCAGCAGTGTATTTCAGTCAGTCTGCCTGTTCTGCTCCCTACTCTGTCTCTGGTGAATCCTCTCCGCCCACAAGTCTGGCCTGTACCCCAGTTCTTGCATGCATAACTAAATAAATCTTAAAAAAAATAAAAGCATGTATAATTTCCTGAAAAGAGGGGGAAATGCCATTCGTTTCCGTGTGTTCCTATTATAAGCCTACTTAGAGCTCAAGCCAAAGATTTAAGTGATTTCCATGAACTGCTTCTTACAGATTTTCCCAATTGTGAAAGCATATTCACAAAAGGCCTTAATTACTGCAAGCACATAAAAGATGTGAAACTCCATTTTTTTTTTGTTAAAGATTTATTTATTTATTTATACAAGCACTGGGCACAGTCAGAAGCGCGGGAGGGTGAGAGAATTCACCAGAGCCAGAGCGGGGAGCAGAGCAGGCAGAAGGACCGAAGTACACTGCTGAAACTCCATTTTTTAAAGGGGGGAGGGTGATATGCATTTCACACCCATAAGAACAGCACATATTTAAAAAACTAAACAAAAAACCAAGTGCTGGAGAAGACAGGAGAAAGAGGAATCCTGTCACACTGTCGGTGGGAAAGTCAACTGGTGCAACCATTTTGGAAAGCAGTCTGGATTTACCTTCAAAAATGAACAATAAAAATATCCTATGACCCAGCAACTCCACTCCCAGGCATGACCCAAAGATGTGAAACCATCAACTCAAAAAACCCTATGTGTTCTACAACGTTGACTGCAGGACTAAATGCCCGTCAACAGAAGATTGATAGGCCAAAGATGTGGTCTCTGCACACTATGGAGTATCACTCAGCCATAAGGAAAGACGAAATGCTGCCATTTACAGCCAAATGGAAGGGGTTCAAGGGAATTATGTGCAGTAAATCAGCAATGACAAAGACAAATATTGAACATTTACACAGCAGACAATTCAACAAATTAAAGTACTTATAAAAACTAGTGGCCATTAATAAAAGAAGTAATGCTTCTGAAAGCTGGAGGGGGTGGGAGAGAGGGTCAGTGAGATATAAGTGGTGGAGGGGAGCAACGATGGGGTAAAAACAAACACTCATTAACCGATCTTTTCAGAATTTGAAGGAAAATGCAGAGGCATTTTACTAACACAGTGGGAGAAAGCAGGTGTTCTCTATACCATCCCCTCTACTTTGCCTCCATGCTCCTAAATCTGTGTTTCAATTTGAAACACATCAATTTCAATTTGAAACACATCTAGAAAAAGTATTCTGGGGTCACTGGAATGTTTACAGTCAAAACTTGAGGGAGACAAAGATGAACAGCTGCCAACTGGCAGAACAAAACAGCTATTGATAGTTCCAGAACAACTTAGCAATATTCAGAGGTTTTCTATATATAAAGTGATATATGGGGCTGAGCATGCCAAAAAAAAAAAAAAAAAAAAAGAAAGAAAGAAAAAAGTATATAGGATCACCACATAGGGAAACTTTAAGCCCCAACCAGTCAACTGGTCTACAGTCTCTTTTGACCTAAGTCATTCTAGGAGTTACTATTGTCGGATAATCTTCCAGACAGGGCCCCTGCTGGTTCCTCAGAACCTTCGCGCTTTGGACAAACCAAAGCCAGCTCTGATTGCAGCACCTGCAAGGTTGGACCTGTAGCAGACCTGACAGGGAGGCCCTGCTTCCTAAAATACCCCTTCAGCACATCAGGAAGTGGCCAAACATCCCTAATAGTTTTAGGGCCTAGAGGACAGGCGGCTAAACTCTCTGGCTTGGCAGCCAAGACCATTTAGATTAGGTTGCAAGATCGAAGCCAACTTTCATGGCACTTTTGCACAGAAGAGCTAGGCACCGGGCCCCAGAACAACAATCACAGAGCTACCCATGGTAAGGCTAGGAGATGCGCTGCAATCTAGATGGAGTATCTCAGCCTCATTTCCTACTCCTCTGCTGGTACAAGTTCCTGGTGTTGCAGCCCAACAGATAAGGCCTGCTCTGTCCACCTCTGCATCCCACACTTTGTTCCCCTCCAACAATAAGACAGGCTTTTGGTCCTTGATAAATCCTACTGATTTAAGTGTGGCTGTATCCCTTTCTCTCTCTCCTCCTGCCACCTCCTCCCGGGGGAAAGCCCTTGCCAGGTTGATTCCAGGCAGCACAATCTCTAGCCCAACCTGGACACCCTTTCCAAGTCTGAGTCTTCAGGCTGAGCTCTTTTCTGGCGAGAAGCCAAGGGGGATCCCTTGCACACTGCAGTTCTGGACAGACCTCTGCAGGTTAGATTAAGGGTCTGGGAGTGGTGGATTTGGGCACATTCTCCAGTGGCCCCAGATGAGACCCCACCTCTCA